GCCACATTTTATCGTCAGCTAAAACAATACTTGGAAACAGGAAACATATGTATATTGGCTAAATATTTAGTATTATGAAAACCACAAGATGATCTTCAAGAAATAAGACCTTGATACAGAAAAACCAAGGCAATTCTTCAGCTCAGAGAAAAAGCTAAATAATATTCACAACATAACAATCTGGTCAGATGAAAGGTGAACATAATCCTCTGGTGCCGGAAAGCAGGTATGTGAAACTAGAGATTGTTTGAGCCCAAGTCCACTAGCAGAGAAATCTGCGATGGAGACTAGCAACCAACTTGCCATCAATGTCAAACTGAAGTAGCGAGTCCTTGTCAATATCGACCAGCACGAGGACATCACCATCCCAATATGCAACATCCACACACCAAAAACCGCGAAAGTTTTTTAATAGCACCCTTAGCTCTGCAATCGGCAATTGAACCCGCCAGGCTTTGGAGGCCCAGACTTGGCCTTCGTAGTCCTGCATCACCCAGACATGAACAATGGTATTTTCTTCATTAAGACTGTACATGCCAAGCAAGTCACCCATCTCAAACAGGTCAGCCTCGGCATGGCCGGGATCAATCGGAGAGCGCATCTGCCGGAACAACTCAGCGGTGGTGTCAAATACCATTATCAGTCGCTCTGTGTGCCAATGCAGGCTACCACGGAAAAGGACAGGTTGGTGTTGCAACAGTCCCTTGGCATGCGCCCCGATGTGCCTCGGCTGCTGGTCAGAGCCTAATGTGAAGACGTAGAAGCCACTTTGAGCATCAGTTTCCGGGCAGACGCAGAGCAGTAGTCGGTACTCGCTGGTAGGGCTGTGTGGGTACATCCCCAAAACCGTGAAGTCATCAAGCTGGTTGAGACGAGCATACTGACGAGTGGCCGGGTTGCAGATGGAGAGGCGTTCACCCCCGCAGGTGGTGAAGACAAGGAGGCCGTCACAGCAGGCCACGGGAAAGAAGTCATGGGCACCACTGAGTTGGGCAACGGGCTGGAGCTTGTCGTCTGCCCGGTGGTCGCAGGGGAAGGGGGTGATGATGTCTATGGACGGCGGGTCATCAATTTCAGTGTAAAGGAGAGGGAGTGAGGGCTGGCGGGCGTGGTGGGCGACAAGGAAGTCGCGGTCGGAGGTGGCGCCGCGCCAGGCGTGGCAGACGGCACAGCAGTGAAGGAGGGATTTGGGGGGCAGGCGAACGAGGATCTCAAACATGAAGATCTCATCCTGGAGGCCATGGAGGAGACTTGCGGACTCCGCCATGGATCCGTGCAGCAGTGGGAGTGACGGCGGTGGAGAGGAGATCTCACCAAAATCTGAAACAAAAACAAAGGTACATGGAGCTTAATTACAAATAACTAGCAATAGCATCAGCAGCGAAAAACAATACAGTCCAGTGCAGCAATCAGTAGCATCATACAATACAAGAGGCATTAAAAAAGCATAATATTTCATTCACAGTGCACGCATATTTCATATTTTAAGGATCAACACAGTGCACGCATATTTCATTCAACAAAAGCATAATATTTGCATAAGTTCTGCAAATCAAAAGTGGTACATATTCCTAAAGTAATCTTCACCAAAGTTGTACATATTCCTAAAGTAATCTTCACCAACCTAGAGCAATGTCAGTGGCAAGTTGGTTCCTAACCAGATCCATGTCAACACCATTTTCCTCCGAAGTTGACGTATCCGATGCATTTGTAGGAACAACAAACTATCATCTTCTGGGTTTCAATTGAGTAGCTTGGCATCTTCAAAAGAATTTGCCATTTCATCTTCCAAACTCCAAAGGCCCTCTCTATGCAATTGCGTTTGGACGAATGGATCCTGTTGATGTACTCCAGCCCTGTCATTAGTTTGAATTCCCTCCCCACCTCATCATATGCATTGGAGGTCCAGTGAGTATTTGGCCTATTTCCAGCTCTCGCTTGCTTGACAAACAACTCAGTGATAATCCTTGTATTCTCAATGTTCCATTCAGCAACCATGTTGGACAATTCTATATAGAAGTTCATGTCACTGTGTGTGCTAAAAAAGATTGTATGCACTCATTTATAAATCTGTACAGCGACTACTTCCTCTAAAAAGATTGTATGCTCTCATATAAATCTGAACCTCATCCATGTCATCTGAATTTATGAACATGAAAAAAAACAGTGTGGGAGGGAGACTACCTAAACTATGTCATCTGAACATATTTAAAACGGTAGATGGACTACCTCAACTATGTCATATAGAAATCGGTGCAGGGGACATCCAAAAATATGAACCAAAGGGACTCATCTGGCCATCCTAAAATCTGAACCAAATGGCCTCATCTGCACATCCTAAACTCTGAACCAAATGGTCTGACTGCATGTAACATGAACTGAATGAAGGTGGGGAGGGGTTGTGCATACGCACAAGCTCACCTTGAGCTTCTGGAGCGGCGCCGGCGGGGCAGAGGAGCAAGGCCGACGACCTTAGGCGGTGCCGGCTGCTGACAGGTTGGGGTGGCGAGACAGAGGAAGGACTCGCGGTGTCGGGGAAGGGGCGGCTCGAGGAGGAGACTGTCTTCGGGGTGGCCGGACGAGTTGGCCGGCGGCGGCCGTGTCGCCGGACGAGTTGGCCGGCGGCGGCGGGATGGCCTCGTCCGTCGCTGGCGGCTAGGGTTGACGAGCGGGTGAGGACGGAGGAGATTGGGGATCTGGCTAATAGGCTTTCTATCGAAGAGGTAAGCAACTTCGCGGTGGCAGGTTTGTGTAAATACCCCGAACTCCAGTTTTCTCAATTCCTGGGATTGGCAAAGCTGCGGCTCCACGTTTTTGTACATGGACGACGGGTAGATCCTTAAAATATTCATATTTGAGTTTCTCTTTTTTGCTTCTCTCGAATTTTGATCTGATTTTTTTAGGGGTTATCTTAATATATATTGTGAACATGCATGATTTTGTTTTTCAGATTTTTTCGCAATGTTTAAATTTAAATTTAGGCTGCAAGGCACACGGTGCATGTCACCTGATCTCTCCTGGAGCCACACCGTTCGGGCCAGCTCCGCTCGTGGATTCACTGAATCTGGGAGCTGGCGAGCTGCCGAACAGGCCCTAAGAACACCACCACTCTGAATCTAGTGCGTGCATATCTGGTCAACAACTAGACATCACCAATTTTGAGTAGCATATACAAGCAGGCTAAACACCTAGCACTCACAATAACATATTGGTTCATCAGAATCTGAACTCTCTCTCTCTCTCTCTCTCTCTCTCTCTCTCTCTCTCTCTCCCTCTCTCTCCACGTCACAGATTGACCCCATCGTCATCCCCTCCAGCGAGCATGCCCCGCTCCCTAGAGCAGAAGCGGGGAGTGCCTCCCCGTCTTGAGCGACAGCGGCGTCGCCACCCCCTGCACCCATTGCCCGGCGGCTCCATCTCTCCGTCCCCTAGGTTCTCTATTTTGCTTGGATCTGAGAAAAAGTTGAGGGAGGAACGAACCTGTGCTACACTGGTGGCGGCGTGGTGGCGGGACGGAGCTTTCCGGACGCAGCCGTTGCGCCGACCAGCGAGTCGGGGATGGAGTCGTGGCGCTGCTGGAGGCCAGGAAACCGGAGAGGGAGTCGGGGCGCTGTCGGCGGCAGTTATTTCGGCTTTCTACTACAGGGGAGCATACCCGGCCATCTGCCGGGCCGGGACTACCAAAGCCGGAGGCAGAAAACCTAAGCCCGAGCCTGGCCCGGCCCAGCCATTGGGCCTATTTTTTGGGCCCAAGCCTAGCCTGAAAGTGATAAAGCCCGCCAGGCCGCGGGCCGGGCCTCTTCAGCGAATCACGAAAATGGCGGGTTCGGGCCCGGCCCGGCCTTCGGGCTTAAAATCTAGGCCCGGGTGTAGCGTCGGGTCGGCCTTTTTCGGGCTAGGCTGTCCATGGCCAGGACTATGGGGAGTGTTTCAAGACGCTGTTGGAGTGGACTTTGCTCTAGTCTAGGTTAGGTCATTCTTCCACTCGCGGTGGAGTATCCAGATACATGCATACAGCACAGATGCGTCTTATGCGCTTTGTCATTGAATGAATGCTCTCAAACGGCAAAGAGGGAGCCCTCAATGTAGGAACACAAGCAAAGAAGCTCATAGCTTGGTTAAATTTTTGGTTTCTCTTAACCAGGGTCATCACTTGTGGCTAGGCTATCCACATGACCCCTTTTGTATTCTTTTGAACTTCCCAATTAATCAATATAGTGTCCCTCACCCCTAAAAAGCACTTATTATTTCTTTTTATTATTATAATTTCTTTTGGTCTTCTAAAAAAAGTTATTATTTCTTTTGGAATTACAGCTTTTTATTGTAAGTTTTTTTGTGACTTTTTATTATAAGTTTGTTTACTAGCTCTATCACACATAATGGATTTTGTCAATAGTAAGAATTGTGTGTGAGCACTAAGTGCTAATAACGTAAAAGAAAAACAACTAGCCATCTAAAATAGGATGTGTGTCCCAGCTAAAAAGAGAGGACGTGTGTATGTAATGGTTAGCTAATATAACCATCTATTTTTTTTGCGGGTAGGCTAATATAACCATCTCTATTTTGTGTAACTCGTGTTAGGGTTTTCTTTTGCGAGACAAGTCTTTTTAGAGTTTATGTCAATTCATAATTTTTCTCTTTACTTTCAGAAATTATGTGTTGCTGCGAATCAACCTGTGGTTGAATTGGTTAAGTGGACAGTGGTATCCCCAACCCACCAGGGTTCAAATCCTGGTGCTCGCATTATTCTTGGATTTATTTCAGGATTTCCGGCGATACGCTTTCAGTGGGAGGAGACGTTCCCGTCGACGACGAGGCGCCTACGGTGACTTCGTAAATCTCAAGATGATATGCCGGCTCAGTCTCTCAAAGGTGCTCATAGGGATAGGGTGTGCGTGTGTGCGTTCATAGGAGTGAGTGTATGCGCGTGTATATGAGCGCTTGTGTTTGTACTGATGCTCAAAAAAAAAAGAAATTATGTGTTGCTTCCCGCAAAAAAAAGAAATTATGTGTTGCATATTGTCCTAGCAATTATAGTTCTTTAAAAAAATCACATGGACGTTTAACCCTGGTGTGACAAACTCATGTATTCGTACCTAAATGGAGATGGGAGATAAGTAAGTTGTGAGTTATGGATAACGAAGAGTTGCTTACAAAGTTATGTGAATAGATTTTCAAAAAAAGAGTTATGTGAATAACAAATCGGTTCGACCTAGTGGTTCCGTTAAACTTTTTGCCATGCATGAATCGAAACTTCTAGATGTGCTCTTGTCACTTGGATTCTCTTTCATACGTATATGCTTATGACCTGGCTCTTGAAGAGTGTAATCATTTTATTTCTCATGTCGTTTGTGTACAGCAGTGGGTCACGTGAGATAATTAAACTGTTTTGTGACACTATTAGAGAATTAAACTCGTTTGTGTACAATAGGAACGAGAAGATCAGCTTTCTTTGGTTCGTTTGGTTGCAAGTAGTGATCGATGATTCCCACGGGACTTAGCCCACACACTTAACACCACTCGTTCGGCTCGCAGGTCACTCACCACACACACGCGCGCTTCAAGATGTCAATGAGGTCCCGAAACCCGCATCACCGCGGGTTTTTACCCTACTAGGGGATGGAGATGGGCGTCTTTTCATTCCCGCGGGGCTGTTGTTGGGCACATTATACAACCCGACATGTTTCGTGGGTTTGCACCCGTTTCAGTAGTCTCTGAACCCGAAACCCGGTAAACCTGGCAAATTTTTTTTACGAAGCACTGATCCGGCGCGGCCCAACCCAAAGCTACCGAGCCTAAGCGACCGAGCCCCCCACCCCCAGCGTTGAAGGCCAAACTAACCCCTCGCTGGGTGGCCGGTATCGCTCGCTCCTTCCCACCTCCCTATAGCTGTTGAACCATCTACTATTGTTTTGTGTTAAAACTTGCTAAAGTTATGCTGCTGAAATATGTTCGTTTTGTTGTCGAAATATTACTCTTTGTTGGTTCTATGTTTCCTTATATATGTCGATTTCCCCGTGGGTTTAGAAAATCCGATGGGTTTAGGGGACGGGCGAAAAACTAGCCCCGCGCACGGTGACGGGGATGGGGACGGGTTTACGATTTTCTCGTGGTGATGGGTTTGGAAAGGCAAAACCCGATGGGTTTCATCCCCGTTGCCATCTTGACGCGCACTGGTGGGCCTCCCTTGTCAGGGTTCCGTACTCTCTCTCTCTCTCTCTCTCTCTCTCTCTCTCTCTCTCTCCGCCCTTCTCGCTATCACGTGGGCCCGTTGCGTCAGTGTCCTCGTTGCGGCTGTGGCACACGGTAGTAGTCGTGCCATTCTCCCCTCCTTGTAAGCTGCCTTGCCCCCAAGGCGACATTGTGGGAAATGTCTGTTGTAGTTGCTTGGGATCCTCCCAGGTCACCAGCGATGCAAGGAGATCCTCCCACTGCACAAAGATGCGAGGCTGCGCTACGACTTGTTTGCTGGTCCAAGACACGGGTCAGAGTGTGTTCAGCCTGTAGAAAAGCGTTAGTAGGTGGCTGCTACCTCTTGAGCACTGCGTTGGTTTTCCCTTGAAGAGGAAAGGGTGATGCAGCAAAGTAGCGTAAGTATTTTCCTCAGTTTTTGAGAACCAAGGTATCAATCCAGTAGGAGGCTATGCGCGAGTCCCTCGCACCTGCA